GGCGAGGCGTAGTGAGTGGGCTCGGCGCGGGCCTTGATTCTTTCTATGAATATTTGCTCAAGGCTTTTATACTGTTTGGAGTTGAGGATGATTTTAAAATGTTCCAGGTTACTAAATCGTTTCATTTTCACTCACCTGAACATGTGATAAGTGCTGCTTTGTGCAGTCTCCTGTACGCCTCCGGCAGTGCACGTCTCTGTGAATTAATTAATGCAAAATTTCGAAATTAATTTACCGCGGGCAAAATTGTGCCATATACAGGAAGCATATGCGCTTATAATAAGCCAGTTACGACGTGGGCGTGATCGTTGCGTTTTAGGCGAGGGAGAAACCCCAATCTATGTGAACATTGATATGAGAGACGGATCGCTTATAAACACCTGGATTGATGCCTTACAGGTTTGTCTCTGCCTCATCACTTCTTCTTTTTGCCAGTCTGTAAAACTCAGAGTTGGAGACCCATTAGTTCCTTTTACAGGCCAGTTTCGCTGCTGTGCAAGTTCTAAACGGTGACATTGATGAAGCCATTTGTGCGCATGCCATATATTATTCGCTGTGGAAGCGATATGATGCTCTTCCTGAAAGATACAATTGGCGTCTGAGGTTCGTTGAATTTTTGCCGTTGCGTGCTTTCTTTTGGTTCATATTGCCTCAGGGAAGTTCATTTTCTATTCTGTGTCCGATGCTGTCAAAAACAGCCGTAGGCAAAGATGGTACGAATGAGTGAATAAGCAAAGAAAAATTCGTTTTCAGGGAACCGGATGTATATTTTTATCCATTAAGGCCGGAACTGGCCGAATCAACTTACCTGCTATACCGTGCTACACAAAATCCGTTTTATCTTCGTGTTGGCTTTGATATCGTTCGGTCTCTGAATGCTTTTGCAAGAGTTAAGTGTGGTTATGCTACTGTTCATAATGTTGTTGACAAGTCTCTGGAAGACCGGATGGAATCATTTTTTCTTTCCGAAACTGCAAAATATTTGTATCTTGTAAGTTCACTGGTCTTTCTGGACTTCGCATTTGCTTTTAGAACAAATGAAATATTTTTTTCGTGCGTGCATTCAGATAGATTCTTACCAAATGAAACTTCTTGCGATTGTCAGTAAAGCAGTTCAGTGTTTTCTTTGACTCGCCGTATAATAGTGTAACATTTTCCAGCTGTTTGATGTGAATAACGCAGTTAATCTTAACGAAGAACGCATATTATTCACAACCGAAGGTCATATCATACCCATCGATAAACGCATCAGGGAACCAGTCTACGGTTTACCTCAGAGTGTACTTTACAATCATTCATGTGCTGTGTTTAAGCTCCAGCGGCATAGCCCACCGCTCGATCAGTGGCGTCTTGCTCAAATATTTCATTTAGTTGGCATTGATCAGTTTACTTTTTAATCACTTCCTCAGTTTGGGGTTTTTGGTTTATGCACCTTCACTGTTGATGGTTTACCAGCGAAACTCACAAATTGTGCCACTAAACGCACATCTGACTGCTGATCCGGCAGTTAGCTGAAATTTGAAATTTCAGTTTCATGCGCTTATTTCATTCACTCTGTTTATCATTATACTGGAAAAATTGGTTTCACTTTTCACCGCCGTGTGCGATTGTATACCTGTTCTCAGTTTTTCCACGGGTTCTTTGTCTTTTGTTTCCAGCCTGTTTGTATTTGCCTTACTGGTGTTTTCTTTTCTGAGCAGTACCTAAGTTTGGAAATTTCGCTGTTATTTTAAGCACGTGCATTTGAAGTTCATAACTCACAGTGTTCTTTGTAAGGTCAGGTTGCTCTGATTGTTCCTTTTTTTGTAGGGGCAGTAGGCTGCTAGATATTGAAAATTTAGATTTTTGATGCTTTAACGCACTGCTTTTTGCACTGCGAAACATATCATAGCTCACAGTTCTTTCTTTGGCCCTTGAACCTCTTTGCCATATTGCTTTCATAATCCTGAAGGAATAAATTTATTGGAGAACCGTCTTTGTGCATTTTTGCTCATGGTGTCACATTAGTTATAACTCTGACATAGTTTTATGATGTTCCTTGGCAGCACTGAAATTCCGGATCTGAATTTAGTTAGTGGCGTGCAGTGTCTTTTCGGATAATAGCAAAATTATCAAAAAGAACTGCTCTGGATGAGTTAGAGGAGCAGGCAATAATTGTAATCGTATAGTTTCGCAGAAACGAGCGGTGCTTTACTGATGGGATATTCACTTTTTTTTTGCAGTCATCCAGTCCAGTAATGCTGCAGGAAGAAATTCTGGGTGAGCACACTGTTAAACGATGCTAAATTTTGGTGAAGGTAACTGTGTGCACTTAATTCAGACTTGAAATTGACTGGGGAAGTAAAAGTATCGGAAATTGTGGAGTAGCAGTTCAATCTCACACCGTGCGCTTGCAGTCGGCGACATAAAAATAGCTGGATATTGCAAGTGATACGAAGCCTCATTTGGGTAAAGGCGCACAGTAAATAAGGAAGAGGAGTTCCTCGTTGTGGAGGTGTACGCTTTCCAGTTGTAGTTCGTCAACTTCCAGCTCGTTCTCGTCTTGGCCTATCGTTGCTCCATCGACGTTTTTTCGTTTGAAAAGATGCGAGAATTCCGAGTGTTTGTCTTTAGTTCCAGACAGTTGAGTTGTAGGCACTGTTTGTTAGTCTTAATTGTATACTGAATTGTTACTTGAGTGAGGAAAAGCCGAATCAGTTGTGGAGGTCGGGACACGTTTGGCAAAGGATCCAGTTACCTATGGTGTCCTGGGTTATGCGAGCACATACTCAAATCCACCCTCATGCCCCTTTCACTTGCTGTGGAGTACCCCAGATCTACCCTCTCGCACATGTTGAATGTATATCAATTTGATAAGGACAGTGGCCGTTTAGTGGGAGGTGCACTGTAAAGTAACTACATCGTCTTCACTGTGTGCTGGAAAGGAAAACTCGCAGCTGATAAGTTAAAGGTCTTTTACTTCTTCTGATCACCATTTGTATGTCTGTGTACGTATGTGATCATAAGTGTTTGTGTGCATCTCTGTATGTCTTTTGTGGGGTAAGTGAATGTTCGGAGAAGGTGCATCGGCGCAATGGGACCAAACCGGCTTTACACCCAAACAAATTAGTATTTTAGATCTGTAGTGCGTGATGATTTTTTTTTCTGCCATTCTTCCTGCAGCAATCAAAATTTCTTTGTGATGGCGCTCTAAGCAGCTGCAGGCAGTGGCATGTGCTCTCGATAATACTTTACCAGCATCAGTCTTCTGCACGGAAAGTTTGTTGATTATTCTTTTTTAGTAAAGAAGACTAGCTAGGAAGTAAGCTGGAATTGGCTTGAATGTCGGGTCGCAGTATCACTAAGCACCAATTGGCCAACCAAAGCCGCTGCACTAAATGCTCTATTACTGCCTAGATTTCACTCCACAAGTCTTGTTTTTCTAGTCGTCTGCTCATTATTTTAGCACTGCACCGGATAAATGTCCATAGATATGTGTAGGCATTGTAAATTTTTATGAGTTTTTGCATATATGCAAATTGCAACCCAAGCTGGAACGCACCGGGCGGGTCCGTGCGATCATGCGTTTTTGCACCGGACTTGAATTACTCAGGTC